CGGCACGCGGCGGCTCCGAGCTCACGCTGGTGCCTCGCTTGCCCCTGGGGAGAGCGGCCGCAGTGGAGACGGCACCAATTTCTCTCTCTCAGTAGAGACCTCTGCACCGGCCGACTGAAGGGGAAGGGAGATCAGGCTCACACCCCTGGACCTCTGCCCACGTAGCTGTCACATGCTGGACTCTTCCTCCAGCACTGAGTTTCTCTCCCAACTGTGGGTTGAAGTGCTCAATGTCAGCCTCTCCCTAAGCCAGTCAATAACGTGTGTTCACCTGGCGCTGACAAGGGAGCCTCGTTAGAGTAAAAGGAAGGACAAGCGGCCATCAGCAACGTGCACCCAGTTTCCGAGCTCCCCACCTGTTTTGTTCCAGCCACGCCACCATGAATGGACTGTTATTTTTGTTCTCACGCGCGGCCAAGTCTCACTCCGCCAGGTATGCCAAATGCATTTTCCAAACCTGTGTTTCCTGCCGCCCCCATGCCCTTGTTCTTAGCCCCAGCGCTCTCATGCAATGAATTTTCCATCGCTCAGCTGCTGACAGCAGATGTAAGCTCCCATTCCTTACACACTGGTCATGTCTCGACTGCTGCTGTGCTACCACAGGAGCATGTCACCATTTGTTATTCGGATGTGTTTTCATAGTTGGAATCCCCACTCCCTCATACCTAGAGCAAGTCTGTTTCCCTAACCCCCAAGATCAACACTCAGGAGACCAGGCTCCAGGATGTAGGGAGGATGGGGCCAGGCTCTTCTCCGTGGTGGCTGGTGACAGGACAAAGGGTAACGGGTGCAAGTTGGAAGTTTAATACCCATATGAGGAAGAACTTTCCTGGGAGGGTGACAGAGCCCTGGAACAGGCTGCCCAGAGAGGTTGTGGAGTCTTGAGATCTTCCAAACTCACCTGGATGCCACCCTGTGCCACATGCTCTGGCTGTCCCTGCTTGAGCAGGGAGGTTGGACTAGATGATCTCTAGAGGTCCCTTCCAACCTTAATCATTGCTGTGATCCTGTATGTGTCCAGGCTCGCTGCAGCAAAGAGAGCAGCTGCACGCTGCAGGAAGTGATGCTGTGAAAACATGTTGGCCCTTTCAAGGAGCTACCTAAGTGCCACAGAAGAAGGCCTGAACCCTCGGGCTCAAGCCTTGCTAACAGCAAAAGATGCAAAGAAAAGCTTTGCCAATCTGATTCCTATTGCACACGGCAATAACCAGTCTTGGAAAACAGTCAACCAGAATCATCTAGTTCCATCCAGAATTCCTGGGAGCTGCCCTAATCCTTTCTTATTTCCTAACACGCACTTGTTGAGGAAACTCTGGGGAGAGCAACTTTTAAGAGTGATGCTGGTGCAAAGCACATTAGCGTGATGCGCTCATTAATTACTAACTGTGCCTCCTGAGGCAAGTGAATCCACAGTGTATTCCTGGAACAAAATTGCACAGGGATTTCTGCCCTGCTGCTTCAGCTTCCCTGCCTTGTACACGCCTCCTCACCACCTCTCATCAGCCGGTTTTAACCTCTCCTCTGCTCTCATGCTAATCCCTCCCTCCCACTCCACCCCTGCTTTCCCAAGCAGCAGTTTATCAAATGGGTACCAGGCACCCGGATTCTCCCCTGCATTCCCTTTCCGAACAGAAGGAGGTATGACAGAAAAATCAGGCTTGGCCTTGCTGACTTCTGACAAATTTGAGGTCATTTATTCCTGTTCACCTCTGTTCTGTTGTTTACTTGTGAGCATGTCCTTTATTCTTACCTACCTCAGGACAGGCCACAAGGAGCCTGTTGCCACCTGGCCCATCTTCCCACTCTGAATGGCGGCACTGATGTTCACTTGAGCCAGCGGGTAGGGATTTTGCTCCGAGATGGTTGATATCCCAAGTTCATTGCACCAGTCCTTTCAGCATGTGGCAACACAGATGCTACTGCAGCCAATACAGCCCCCTGCCAGATAGGGATTTTCCAGTAAGCCCTTGGACAGATAAGGTAGGGCAACTTCAAAAGCTTCTGTGTATGACAAGAGCAAAACACAGCCTATCTGGTTCACAGGTAGGCAGCTATAACCTTGGTGAACACTAGGAGAATTACTGAATGTTTTGTCAGCTCCTCAAAGTACCTCTCAATTGCTGCTTTACTTGCTCCTGTTATAAAGGCTTATGAGGTCAGCCCATTCTGGAAAGGAAAGAAGATGGAGAAGCCTGACTCCATCAGAAGAATTTAACTGTCCTGTCAGACAAACACAAAACTCTGAATCATGCTATGATTTGCTGTGTTATTTATACTACTACTTTCAGTATGCACTGACAAACCTGCGTTCCTCCAGCCTGGGTACTTCAGAAAGCTTGCAAAAAAAAAAAACAGTAGAAAAAGTCTCACAGATACAAATTCTGTGTTAAATTGGGTATTCCTCCAATTGCCGTTCTCCCTACACATATTTGCTGTTCATGGTAAACTCTTTACAGTTTTAAGAATGTAAAACTAACTCCACCTGTGATACAGAGAGAAAGCTGCACTCAGCCCACTCTGCTATTAACCAGGCCAAAAGCCTGCTTGCAACTTCACCACACAGCGTGCACTCGTGCAGTGCGCAGTGTCGCACAGCTGGAAAGAACTAAACTCAGGGGACTGCAAAACAACTTGCACCTTGTTTATATACTAGATACCTATGCTTTCTGTAGGGGTGGCCATGCAGGAACTCTCTCACTACGAACATTAAATAAAGTTCTTTGTGGCGGGCAAAGCTGTAGCATCTCAATCAATGCTGAGAAAAATCCTTACCTCGAGGATGCAACAGAAAGCTGCCTCCCTGTGATACAGGCTCAGCATCTCCAAGCTTTACTTCCTGAAGACACACTTTAATCAATCCACTTTTATTGAAAATATTGCATTAGCATTTATTTTGCTCGTCTACCTCAGTGCAAAATTAAGCTATTTAACATGAAAATTATAAGAGAACTGCAAGCAGCTTCATAAAATTAAAGACCAAATAGACTGATACCAGGATCAGACTCTTTAATCTGGTGGATATGGAAGGGTGGGGTAGGAAGAAGAGTTTTGTTTTAGAGTCTGATACATAATCTATTTTGCTCTTTTAACACATATATTTGTTATTAAAAGCCGCTGTTCAGCAGTATAACATGCATCTAAAAATTGACAATACGGGGCATGATCCATTAAATATACTACCTGTGGACAAGAATCATTCAGGCCAGAAAGATTAAAATGAAAAGCACCAGGGCTCCGAGGCCCTTCTAGAAGACGTTTTCTGCAGGGAGAGTGTAATGCCATTCGTCAGCGCTCTACTGCAACATGCCCTGAGCACTAGCGTTTGGTCCATTTCTTGCACGTTGGCTGTAGAAATGCACTTCTTTGGAAAAGCAACCGTCATACGCTTTGCAAGTGCAGGGTGACTTCAGACACCCAATTTATTCGCCTGGGTGAGGACAACCTTCAGGACAGGCATGAAAGCAGAGGTCTCGCTGAAGTTGCTGGTGCTGACTATGTGAGTGTGGATGTTCAGTCCTTCCATGTAGTTGCGGGTCTCGATGCTCTTCACAATGTTGTGCAAACCACTAATGATGGTTGGAGAGAGCTGCAAGGCAGACAAGGCACATCAGCAGAAAGAGAAAGGGCTGGCACGCTCACGCCTGGCTTGAAACCCCTGCCTCTCAGTAAGGTGCAGGGCCTGGGTCTTCCCATCTGACTGCATCTGACTTGCAGGGAAGTCTATGGGCCTCAAAGGTTCTACATTTTCAGAGATTTTTTTAAGTCTAGTCTTCGCTACCTACCATTCTTGGACAGAACACATCAGAGGGGTTGCATTCCTGGATGGCTTTTTGGGCCATGATTTGCATTAGCTTAAGCAAAAATGTAAAATCAAAACTTACTGTCTGTTCCCTAAGTTTGTCATAAAGAAACTCCAGGCGTTTATTTGCATCATCCAGTTTCCTCTTGGTTTGCTGCAAGAGAAAAATAAACTGAAATCAGAAGAGCATTCTGAATTTCATTGTTCTCAGTGGTAAATGATTTAATTGCAAAATGACCCGAACAACATGCCTCCTTCGTCAACATCCTTTTCCTTTTCCTAACACATACTTCTCATTCTTGATGTTGCTAGGAGAGATGACACTTCTACCTACCTACAGAATAGTAAAACTTGTGAGGTATATCCCAAAAGCTACCAGGCATTTGCAAAACTCAGTGGCACGTCTGATATGACCAGTGTAGTACAGACTGCAAAAGGAAATTGGCCTCCGTGCTTAACTGGAAAGTACCGTTTATTTGTTGGATAGAAGTTGGAATTAAATAGCCAGCAAGGCCACTCGGTACTTAAGGCCACCTGCAGTCCTGAAAAATGAATATATAAAACTCAGTCATTTAGAGCAAATTCTATTTATATTTTTTCATTCACTTGTTCTTACAAACAGAGATAGCAGGTTTTACTCCAGAACAACTAGAATAAAAAAAGACAGTATTTAAAATCATCCTGAGTACCATTACAGAAACAAAACCAAAGAGAAGGCCAACAGCATTAAAAAGGGCATCAGTACATATGGGTATTGGAACTTCCTCTTAAATCAGCACACACATCAACCCACTTTGACTTAAGTAGCACTACTTCCTCTGGCTACTCAAAAGTTTCCCCGGATTAAATCATGGCAGAGACCAAAAATGGAAAGTCTAAGAGACGCTCCTCAGGTGTGAGGACAGGCTGGTGGCTCTGTGCTGTGCCAGAAATTAGGGAAGGCATAGGAGCAATGTGGCAAAAGGCACGGGGGGAATACAGCCTTTGGATCTTTCAGACTATGTGGAGAAGTCTCTTGAGTGATACTGATGCTGCCAATGGACTGAGGCAAGGAAGGAAAAAGTAGCCCAGGAGAAGCACTTAAGATGCAGCCTTTTGGACTAACTCTCAGTTACACGACTTGAGGACAACTGTTTCTAAGCCTGTGACAGGTCATTTTACAGACAGGTCAAGGGAAGAGAAATAAATGTGTCCACTGAACAGCAAGAAACCTCCTCAAGAAGAGGAAATTAGACGGAAAAAGCGCAAGTAGTTTTTTGTCCTGGCCCTCTGCTTCCTGTTCCAGCCCCTGTGCTGCAGCACCTTTCATAGCATAGCTTTCCCCTTTGGCATACAGCAACTGAGGGTGTGTCTATACATGCTGACACCTACAGCCAGGGCAGCACTTCTCATTGCTGTGTACCTGGATACGCTCGCCCAGCCTAAGCAGACCAGAGCACGTTAACAATAAGCAAGGAAACAAACAGTGTTGGTACAGTAGAAAAGCAACCTCGATGAAGACAGTGCGAACAGAGCAGCGTTGTCTCCATTGAGTGCTGATTGCCTGGGAGGAGGGGGAGAAACACTTTCACAGGAAGAGGCAGCCCCAAGGTCTGTACAGCACCTGACTTCTAAACCACTGCTTTGTAGGGTATTCTTTAAAAAAGAGCTTTTGAGCAATCAGACACTACTGAACTGTGCAGAGCCTATGTCAAAATCACCCACAGCCTCCAAGAAGCTTTGGCAAAAGAGCACAGGGTGGATCCAGGAATAAACTAGTGAGCTGGCACCCAAAGGGAAAAGGTGGTCCAAGTATATGCCCACCTTGAGTGGAAGCTACAGAGCCAGCTGGAACGGTACAGGCAATGTAACCAAAAGAGCCAGCCTATGGCTGTGCTGCCACAGAGCCCGCCAACAGCTCAGCTCCTCGTAGCAATAGCAGGAGCGCAAAGTCTGTGCTGCTCACCATGCACACGCGGCGCAGAGTCCTCTGAGGACCACTATCCTGCCTTTCACCAGCAGCCCTTCAGCCTGCGAGCACTGAGCAGACGACATCCGTGCTCAGGGCAGGGTGTTATTTACCAGCCACTGGAAAAAAGAGGAGAAGCTTGGAAATGGATGGCTCGTTTCCAGAACCTGCCTGTCACAGGGAGTGGTTATCCCGTCCAGCTCTAGCAGTTGTGTTGCAGCTCAACCCCAACCAGCTCCAGCCCTCATTAGGAGAGGGCAGTGAAGGGCTGCACCGGTGGGGGTTTGTGACGGGCTGACATGACCAATCTCCTCTGTGCCAGAAGCATCGTCCTCTCCACATGAAGACTTTAAAAGCACGAAAATGACCCTCAGTCAACATCCTCAGAGAGCTGGGCTGTCAGCAGGGCTACGCTCAGACTCAAAATAAGCTTAAACACAAAGTGCATATAGCTTTGCTATCCATTTCTAGACAGGAGTATCCCCAGCAGCAGAGTTTGTGATAGCTGGGTGAGCAGCACGACGTTCACCTGAACACAGGCCTACTGCAGGCACGCTGCCAAGACCTACCGGGTCTGAAGCAGACATCAGGCACCTTTGGATGAGAGCTTCAAACGTGGTCTTCAGGATCAGGTGCTCCTCAGGGATAGGCTTCTTGGTAATCTTCTCTGTTGGCAGTGCCTGGACGTGCTATAAAACAGAACGGTGGAGGCTTTTCCAGGTCATTCTATGACTCCATGTAGTTTTAAACTACAGCTTGGCCCAATTCCCCCTCCATGTAGGTGTGTGGAGGTGGACAAGGCCTCAAGCAAGTACAAGAGGTTCTTCTATTCTATGCCTGGCCAACAGGATGCAAGCCCACAAGGCTTTGCTGATGTACAGAACGAAACCAGTAGCACGGGAGGTAGATTACCTGGATGGCATTGCCGATTGGGGCTCCGGGGGCTCCCTCTGTGCTGGTTTTGGAGACAGCAGGAGGCACGATGCTTGGCCCCAGTGACTGGGGAGCAGGCTGGTAGGGGCCCTGCAGCACAGGCTGCCCCACAGGCAGGTGTGCGGGCTGCAAGCTGGGAGCACCCACGGGTGCTGCTGGAGCTGGAGGCTGCTGCATCTGAGACTGCGGATCCGCCAGTGGGTTCATGATGGGGGAAGTGATGGGAACCGGGGGCATAAAGTTATCGGGGACCTGGGGGAATAAGAAAACACAAACCCAAGTGTGTTCATCCTGCCATCACAGCAGCACCGCAACTCCCAGCAGAGCACAACTCTCCCACTGACCGGTCTGTCTTCCCAACTTGAGTTCAGCCAGGCACAGAGCTGAGCCCCAGGCTTTACAAAGCAAAGCGACCAGAACCTGGTGTCTGTTGGTCTTTACACATGAGCATTTTGGATACAGCAAAATGTTTTGTAAAGAGGAGAGATGACTAGGTAAGATGCTGGTGTGTTCAAAGGCATAGAGGCATCAAAACAAAAGGAACAACTCCCATGGGAACTTGCACATTTCTCTGTGCATGGAAAGAAAAAAGATTACATGGCACTGAATGCTACGCTGAATCAATGATGCCTGAATTAAAATAGTAGTTTGGACAGCAAGAAAAGTACTCCTGTTACACCGACAGTTATAAAAGCAATGAATCACAGCAGTAGATTTGTGCATGGTGAATAATAAGTTCTTAGGAGGAAAACAGTTGAAAATACTGCTCTGGCTAGCAATGTAGATGTCTTGAGTCATTTAATAATTGCCTAAACCCATCCCCTCACACAGTGAACCTAAGGGAAACACACAAACATTTCTGATGGTGGTGGTAGGGGTTGTTAAATGCTCAACAGAGCCACAGGACAAACAACAGGATTCCTCACACAGAGAGGAAACTACCCTCAACGCTTCACTACGGCAGATGCCACAGCTCTCACAAACATATAGCAGTAGCAGACACTGTTTCCAGAAGGATTTTTATCAAGTTCCCAGCTCACTTATTCTCCTCTTCCCAAACACACTAGGCTCAGAGAGCAGCAGGCAACACTGCTCTGGAAATATTCTAGGCTAAAACATCCTAGGGAACAAAAAGGTTCCCAGGTTCTGCTCTGGGTCAAACATCCCCAACTACTATGACCTGCTGCAGTCTGAGGCTTTTTCACTCAACTCCATGAAAATTGTCTTACTCTCACCACATCTCCCAGGGCCAGACCCTCCATCAGGATAAACGGCTTTCAGCTCCAGCCAAGTCAGTAATCTGTAACAATTTGCACAGCCCCGTCATTTTGCTTGGGTATTATCTACAAACTCATCTGCTTGACTGCAGATTAAAATAGCCCAAGGTGTTTTTTTCCCCCCCAAATCAGGATCAATGTTGCCACTAAAAACAACTTCACCAAAAAGCCACCGTCTCTTTAGAGCTTAAATATTTTGAAGGAGATGTTGCATACTGGAAAGGCACTAAGGCCATTTCTGTTAGTGAAGCACAGGTTTTGCTTGCTGCTAACCCTCATCAAATTCCCCAGGACAAGGCTCAACTGTGATGAAACAGAGCTTCCTAGAGTACCTTCTTCTTCTTGGCAGCTCTGTTCAGAGCAGGAGGGTCGTTCCAGCCATTCTGAGGCCCTGCAACACAACAGGAAAAAAAGAGACCATCAATATCTTGAAGTAGGGGAAGGGCCAAGTTTTGCACTGCACCCTGGTGCTACCATCGGAGGTTTCACACTTGCCCGGCCCCTGAGCTGGCCAGGGTCACCTGAAGCCCCAGCAATCAAATCCACAGTGCTGTGTCTCTCTCCTACACACACCACCCTTCTGGCATCCACCAAGTTAAGTTCCTATGAGCAAGTGGGAAAAACCAATTGAGCAACCTCTTCTCTTGGTGGAGAAGCATTTTCAAGAGGACTGCAAAGGCAGGCAAGCTGCCCACCACAGCCAAAATGCAACTCTGTTCAACAGACAGCTATATATACATAAATATACCCCCCAACCCATATCCCCAAATCCTTATGTTAGAAAAACCAGCGCTGTTTGCTGAACTGCTTTTACATGATTGCTAATTTAATCATAAACAATTATCAGCAGCAGGGACCTCGGGATCTGTGGGGATCACCAGCGAGTGGGGATCACCTCCCGAGTGCTGCTGCAGTGATTGGACGCGGCGAGAGCTTTTTGTGTTAGGAAGCGCCGTGATCCCAGCAACACAGAGAACGCAGAAAAAAAGAGACAAAAAGGCAACAGGAGATTTGAATGGTTGTAGCCTGATTCCCCCAGCCACCCTTGAGACACAAAGGAGTCACAAAGCAGGTTTCCCTGGTCAACTCCCTCAGCTTTGCGAGGGCTTCGTGTGCCAAGAGCAAAGCAGAGCTGTGGGGCAGCCGAGTTCTCTGCACAAAGGCCAATTCGTGTGAAACAGGAAGGTGAAAGGAGAACATCTGTGCAGAATTGCTTCCAGGCAGCCTGGGATGGTTTCCTTGTAAGAAGCCTTTGAGCTCTTCTAAGGAAGAGCAATACTGTGTGTGTGTCTGCAAGATCTGCACCCACAAAGCTCAAGTTAGTGTGTTAGAAATGGCTCCCATCTCGTCCCGGAGCCCACGTACTTGGAATCACAGCATTTTCAGGTTGGCATTATGGCAGCCTTGCCAAGTAATCGGGATTTACTGCACAAAGCCACAGAAAGCCAACAAACCCAAATCCCCACTCAATGGACTTTTTTACCACAGTATTTTTCACTTAGCAAATGATAAATGCACTTTATATGGCAGACGGCAACATCACTGTAGAATTAGCTTGGCCTGAAATTTCATTCGTTCCTGAGCTTTTTTTAAACAAGCTCCATATCCAGAATATTCTAGAGGGGTAAATGAGAAAAAAAAAAAAAGTAAATAAAACCCCTTTCACATCTGATTTCTCATTAACAAAAGGCAGTGCCATCTCCTGACAGTCATTTGCCTCAGGAACACTACCCTGCGCTATCCACAACACTCCTTCCCAAAATATTTCCTATTTCTGCAGTGCTGATAATAAAAATACATTACGGAAAACCTCCTGCACTGTTGCTGTTAATTAATTAATTTCTTGGAGAGATTTGCCTTGAGGGAAGGAGGAGAAAAAAAAAACAAAACAAAACAAAAAAGGAAAACCAGCTTTTGTTTCTGTGGTTAAAAACTCCAAATATGTTGTTATTGGTTTCAATTAAGGCATTAAAATTGATTTGATTAAATTGTAATTGGCAAACAGCATTGCATTTAATGTTCTCTGAAGAACACATGCATTACTGATGTTTGTTCGATTAATTTCATGTAGTGGCTGCAATAATTTTCACATTAGGCGGTACCTAGTTCACCCAGCAAAGGAGAGGCCTGGTCTTGAGTTGGCAGGTTTTCTGCAGATAAAAATGCAAAGAGAGCTAGAAAACAGTTGTTGTTTAAAAACTAGAACAGCCTGACCGTACTTTTTTAATTAGCACCTGCACCCAGCGTGGCAGAAACGTCGCGTTCACAGAGAAGCCTCACGCCTGCGAGAGAAGGCAGCTTGCCCGCTCAAAGCAACACGCAAAGCCAAAAGGCAAGGCACAAGAACACTCTGCCACTTCCAAGAGGAGAAGCAGCAGGATGAGGTAAGTACTGGGGAATACTCCAGTCTCTGGGGTGGTTTTAATGCATTTTTAGGTCTGCTACCAACACTTCTCTCAACTCATGTCTGGGCTATTGCTATTTCAAACAAGATATGATGCTCTCTAATGGAAAACTGTTCAAAGTAGGTTCACTGAATTACACGGAATCACAGAATGGCTGAGGTCGGAAGGGACCTCTAGAGATCTAGTCCAACCCCCTGCTCAAGCAGGGACACCTCTGCACATTCTCTGCTTCTTCCCATTGCAGACAAAACACTTGCTAATTTGGGCTTCTTTTTCCAGTCTCTTTGCTTCAAGGCTTTTCTGTTGCTCAAGGGAGAAAGGTTGGTTAAATCAAATTAAATGTGGGCTTAGTGACTGATGGAAGCTCCAAGGACTCCTTTCTATATAGATTTGCAAACAAACAAAAACACACAAGGAAAATAACAGAAAACCAGCTCTAGAAGTACATCTTGAGCAGCATACTATGCTAATGGCCAGATGCTTCCAAGACTTCAAACTCCCCATTTTTTTCTTCCCCCAAATTTAATGGGTCCCATTTGCAAAATGAACATCATGCTCCCCCACCAGACCCTCGTGGCACACAGAAGCACAACAGCTCAAAGCCAAGGTGAGCATAACTGTGCTCTGCACCAGAGCACAGAGAGCCACAGGTTAACACCCACTCACAGCTATGGATTTGTGCAAGCTCTACATAATCATATATAAAGGTGCCTTTAAGTGACCTAATGTTCCTGAAAGATAGCATAGCATATATAGATAGCATAGCATATACCATAGTATTTAAGAGCAAGTTTTTGCTCTTCTTGTTTACATGACTTTTCCAAGGAGTCATGCAAAATCTGTATGGCACGAAGGGTGCACTTGGCTCTGTCTAGATACCGCTCTCAGCTGCATAGTCGTGTTTCAGTGGCCTGAGTACACGGATCCCACCCTGGTTTGAGGCCAATGCTGACATTGGCATGGGCTGCCCTCTCGTCACACTTGCTTGCAAAATGCAAGCACGTAAGGCCAGTCCTCAATTACTATTGCCCAAACCAGAGTGCCTTACTACTCCGAGTGCCAGTTGGGTCCTGTTGCTCCACTCTTATTGCACATGTGCCACCAGTGACACAAATACAGGAGTAAAGTGGATAAGAAAGAACCATTTTCTTACTCCTTGCATTTATTTGAAAGCACAGAAGCAATGCTGTCTGCATTATAATGTGCTGCCCCACTTGTCAGGCTTAGAAAACTTGCCAAAAACTCTTCCTCTACCCATTTTAATAATCCCTCTGATAGAGATATAAGTTATATGGGCCCTATCACATGGAGTCAGGAGAAGTCCCAGTCTTTAATGCCTAGCAGCAGAGACCCTGTCCCTCAAACACCCCTCAAACACTGGCTAATTTTTCCCCTACTCCCAGATGCAGTCATCCTTGGCTCTCCAGCTGGACCACCTGGCTGTAAAGCTCATGTGTACAATGGGGCTGCTCATAATTCCTCCCTGGCATGACATATTCAAGGCTACTGTTTCCAAACTGGCTGGAACTGAAGGCTGCTAAGGCAGATACAGGTTTGTTGTTGTGAGCAAGGTCCCTGGACCACAGCAAACGGTTATGAGAAGTCCTCACCTCGGCAGCGTGCTCTTACAGGCATGCTCATGCTTTAGATTAACAACAGGAAAGAGGCCATGTAAAAACATTTCTAAATCACTTCCAACCATCTTTAAAACATTCACAGCTACAGTAAATCCCATAACACTAGTGGTTAGGGAAAAAAATAATGAAAATTAGGTGATTGCACAGAAAATGCTTTTTGAATTAAATATGCAGCAAACCCAGGGCATGACCTGCCTCTTACGAAGTGGAGTTGCCTGGAGGAATTTTATATTTACAAAACCATTCTGCAAGAGAAGGCAGGATTTTGTGTCACCATCCATCAACAGTAAATGATAATCTCAGAACAACATGCTGCTGTAGCACCAGGTCTTAAGCAAGACAGAGGCTCTGTGTCCACAGCAAGATCTGACTCCTAGAGACACGACTGCCTGGGCTGCTGCAGCAACCGAGCTGCGTTACCTCCGGATGCAGAGAAAAGATGGCTCATGTTTTAGAAATGCTGTGAATTACCCTACAAGCACAAGCAAACTTATTGTGGAGCATTCACGAGGAGAAAATACATGCACACACAACTCCGAGTGAGCAAGCACAATGCTCTCCCTTCCCTGCTTGCCCTCCCCCCGGTCAAGCGCAGACCTGTTCTCTGGGATGCAGGAACATCACTGGCTGCAGGCAGAGTACCTGTTGGTCCTGTAGGTAATGCATAAGCCACAGTAGTTGCTGGAGGTCCTGGCCTGCCATGCTGAAAGGAGGCACCAGAAGGAGGCAGAGGGAAGGGAGAGGCCGGATTCAAGGCGGTTGGAGAGGGCTGAGGCTGCCCTGGGTACAGCGGGGAGGGCACGGCATGGGAAGGGGCAGATGGTAAGTACGGAGGGGTAGGGCTCAGGGTAGCATTAGGGTAAGAGGCTGAAGCAGAAGGAGCAACAGGCTGCTGAGGCTGATAGACAGCTGGTCCCCCCGTTCCGAAAGAGTACGGCTGTGTGGACTGATACGCTACAGAGGGGGAGAAAAAAGAGATTCGGTCAGTACCTCAGTCATCTCTCTCTGCTTCCTTCATCACCTGACCCTCCTCCTCTCCTGTAACTTTTCCCCCTACAGCTGGTTGTCCAGGTCCCACTCCTACAGCCCCATTTGCACTTGGAGAATTGTCGCAAACCTCCACTGGAGGAGCAGGGATATGGAGAAAAGACTGCTTTGGCCACAAGGACTTGCTTCTCTCCCTGGCCTCATTGCCTCCAGCCACCTCTCAGGGCAGCGTTGGAGGTACTGCTGCTCTGGGGTGTGTTCTTTTGCAACACTGCAATCTCACAGTGCTGTATCCAGGAGGAAAAATGCCTGTTGCAGACAGGCACCAGGATAAACTCCACACCAAAGAAGTGAATGCCAGCCTCTGGAATTTGGTGTGATATCACAGCGGGCTCTGAGGCTCAACTTCCCTGACTCTTCTCCGACCATCTGTGCCCTTGAACATTTTATCCTAACTTCTGTGTGTACTTCCACGCTTGTGCTCTAACCAAGCTTGTGCACAGTCCCCTTCCTAGCTTATCTCTACCACTGCCCCGATCCCTCCTTTCCTCCTCAACCCCACTCCCTTCCTGAGAGACTCCCCACGAGAATTGGACAGGTCCACACACACAGACAAGTTGGGTGCCTGCTTGCCAGCTCTGTACCATTGCTCCAGGACTCATCTGGGGCTTTGGCCCTAATGCAGCTTACAAGGGGGCTCAAATTTGAGGAGTCTCTTATTGGCTGGAAGACTCCTCATCTATGAAGGCAGCTGGTGACAGATGGTGTCTGACATCTGGTCCCCACTGAGAAGCAAAATCCCTTGGAAGAAGTAAGGAGAGTTCTCCTGCTCAAGACACAGAACTGGTGTGATTTAAACCCTCCAAATCCCATAGACGTGACTGGCTTTCCCTGGGAAACAGGGCCAAGGCTGGCCCACCTGTGCGAGACGGGTGCTGCTGCTACTTACTCTGTGGGTACGGTGGTCGGGCCCCTGGCTGCAGGTACATGTTGTAATTGGAAGAGGAGGTTGGCGGAGGGGGCATGGTGGGGTTGACAGCACCTGGCATGATGAACCCTGGAGGAGGTGGGTTGTCTCCCTGAGAAACAAGATTACAGTAAAAAGAGAGGGGGAGAGAAGAGGATTTAGTGGTAACAGCAACACAGTGCAGAAGCAGAACTGAATGACCAGCTCCCAATTCAAGGCCTAAAACCCCATCCCCTTTAATGGCCATCCACACAGGGATGAAGAGCTCCAACAATCCTGCTGCCTTTGGACATCCAACTTTGTGCCCTGCACGACAGTGAAGCACAGAGGTGTCACGCATGGTTTCAGGAGCAGAGGATCAGGCAACTCCCTGCCCAAGGAGGAGGCTCTTGCGCAGCACTGTGTTACTCGGCGTGTCGGAGACAGCCCTGCCAGCCACAGCTTTCAGCTTAGGGACTTAAATCATGACACTTCCGACTTCAGAGAGAAAGAGGAAAGGACCAACTAGTCTCATTGCGCTCCAAGTACCCTACAGCAGGGCAATAACTGTGGAGCTCAGTTGGCACAGGGCTTTTCAGAGTCTGGGCACTTAGCGTGGGGCAGAGAGCAAAGCAGAGGCTCACAGAGAGGAATAATGAAGGTTATACCTGTGTGTCACAGGGACAGCCTGCAGGAGGATGGCTGAGAAGGGCAGTAGGAGTTTTGTTACTCCAGGTAGTGACAGTAGGGGCAATTCTAACCTGAATTGAACAAAGAAATACCAATCATGGAAAACAAAACAATCCAGAAGTCTATTGGGTATCACGAAGTGCGAGGCAAAGAGGTAAAAATGCAAAAAAAAAAAAAAAAAATTGCATGCTGGGACTTCTAATGCAGCCATAAAATCAAATTGCTGTAGGAAAAGTGGATTCAAGACAGATTCAATCACTGTGCACTGAGACTTGGGTGACTCGCAGAGTGAAGGCCAAGCACAGGGAAGGGGCAGCTATTCCAGGCCATGGAGCAAGCGCAGTGTTAGGCGTGCCAGGAAGCCAGCTCTGCCATGACACGGCTGGTACCCAGCTCTCTGGTACCACATTTTCCTAAATGCTGTGGAAGTTCCACCCCCGCCCCCAAGCTCCTGCACAGTAGGCAGCAAACCACCACTTATGAACTCCATGTCCTGTGCTGAAATCAAACATACTGCCTGGCACAAGCATGGTCTGAATTAAACTTAAGGTCTATTAAAAAAGATGGAATCTACAAAAACAGTGCTCTCACCAGCATCTTTTTAATGACACCCTGCAGGCGTGCACAGCCCCTTGCTGGCTATCAGATGCCTCCTTTGCTAACCCTTATTTGTCCCCCGAAGCCCTTTCAGCTCTTGGCACTTGATGGAACGGAAGGCTAATCCCCGCAGTGCCGAAGTCCCGGGGTGGGGGAAAGCCGGGCCAGGCAATGGGCTGAACACCCAGGGACCTTCTGCAGCCAAGAATACTAAGAGGACACTGACACCCCCACTGTGGCAAAGGCAGAGGCAAAGTCACAGCCCCGAGGCCCGGGCTCGCTTCAGTGCACCCATTTCTAACACTGTGTGGGGTCAGCTTAATGCTGCAGTGAACAGGTGCTGTCGATGTCCACGTAACTCTCCTCACTGGAGTGATTTAAATGACTCTGCCTTTTCCTTTGATACTTGCTCTCTTCCAACTAAAAATACTGTGCAAAAAATCCATAACAAAAGGAAACTGAAGTTTCAGAACATGTTCCTATTTGGGGCAGCAATTAAGCAAATGCTGCCTTAAGTTGGAAGAAGCTGATACCCTCTCCAGATCTTGACTTTACAGGCAGCTACTCACACGCAGGGTGCTCACAGGTCTGTATCACACCTGGGCTTTCTGTCAGGTGCAAGGCTTACTTAAATAACTTGAGGTGTTTCTAAAATGGTAGGAAAATGTGAAATGGATATTCCAAAAGCACTGTTAAGATGATGCCATCTAGAGGAAAGCTGTTTTCTCCACAAAGAGGAAGGAGATCCTGCCCTTAAAGAGCATCATTTCCAAATGCAATTCATTGGTCACAGGAAGGAAGGTCAGAGACAGAAAAAAAGAGCTCAGACAACTATTGGTAATGATACGTTTAACATCAGATATAATGGTGTTAGTTAGCAAGGTAATGCTCCAAGCATGGGATGGAGGTTTTGGTCCTTCTGAAATCTACCTTGTCAACACCCTGCAGAGCAGGTAAAGGCATCCCAGTGAAGGCAGCCACAACCATTGATAGAGAGTGGCAAAGAACCAACTCCACCACCACTTCTCAACTATGTGTTTTTCTTCCTGCACCACTTTTTTTCTGGTAAGCAGTATTTGAAGGGCAGCACTGACAACTTGTGTCTGTCTCCTCTGTGCAAGGACAACGTCCCCATCACTGACACTTCTGCTCTCCCAAAAAAACCCAGCCCTGAGCCCTTGGACACAAAAAGGCCAGCGGTATCTGGGACTCAGCTGAGCAGCTTAAAGACTTGGCAAGGTTTTGGAAGTGGACACGCAGCCAGGTTGCACACCATGCTCCAGTGCCCAACAGCGTCTCGCTGTGTGACGCTGCGCTGTCCTCGGGCTGGCCAAGGAACAAGGGCATCTGCCCTCCTCATTTCGCTTCTTGCTTCCTGCAGGCCCTCCAGCTCGCTAGCCCCGTGCTCACCATCTCGCTGTCTCAGCATAGCTCACGTGCAGCTCTGCTCAGGCCCTGGGAGGTGGCTTTTACAGCAGGCCACCCCAGCAACAACCGCCTCGAGTTTGCTACTGCTCCTCACATGCAACTTCTACCCGGCAGAAAACTACAACATTCTCATTAAAAAGAGGGAGAAAACTGCTCTGCAGAGCCAGGCCACTTAACAAGGGGTTTCAAAGATGATTCTGGAGGAGCCTCCCTTGAGGCACAAATTAATTCTGCCCACAAGGTTCTCGGTGGTTGTCATACACTCACAGCTCAGATCAAGAGAAAGGAAAAGCGATTGTTCTATCCATCATTTTCCTAAAAACAAGCACAAGGTCCCCCCTCACCCCACTTACCTGTTGGTAATACTGCTGGGCTGGAGCCTGGGGTGCTGGCATCTGTCCAGGCACAGCACCAGCTCTTGCTTTGGTCACTGGCTGCCTCTCATACGGTGCCTTCAGGGCCTCCTGGCCCACTGCGAGCTCCCCTTGGGCTCTGCAAAGCCTGTCCCGTAACAGCACTATGTTTGGCTGCAAACAGGAGAGCACAGCAAGGGAAGGTCAACCGTGCAGCCTGCCACCCAGGCAGCCTGCAAACCCCGCAATTTATAGCGAGGGCGTCTCAGGCAAGGCAAACAGCCTGACCCTTGGCATCCTGAGGAGTGTTTCAAGAGCAGTTCTGCAGCCTAACGGCACTACACAGATCTCTGCTTGAAGCAAGCCTGTCAAGACAGACAAGCAAAGGGCAAAAAGAAGGGGTCACACACCTGGCTGGTGTCTGCGGGGAGGAACGTCAAGGCTGCAGCAAGGCTGCCCTGCGCGGCCAGCAGGCTGGCGTACTGGCTCATCTTCTCGGCCAGGAGGGCTCCCACAGCGCTAGGGTCCACGGCCTGGGTGAGCTGCACGGCTTTGCGCAGAATCACAACCTTCTCTATTAAGTCCTGGAAGAGGAGAATGAGGAGACAGAATGAGGACAAGGAGGCAAAGCAGTCGCAGGCTAAGCGCTATATCGGCTGCTCCTTGGGTCTGCACTAGCAGACTTGGCTCTGGTAATGAAAAGGCCGAACCAAACACGTGGACAGTTACAGTCCAGTTATCGCTTTCCCAGCGAGTGGGATGACAGAAGAGCAACCAACCACCAGTGCCTCCTGGCTAAGCCAATGTGTTGTGTATAGCTCAAAGCCACAAGAAGTTCAAATAACCAAGATTTTGGGGCCCTAGCAGCAATATGCATGCTCTCCAAAAGAATACTCTTTTGTAAAATATTTGGCAAGAGCATCACTCCCACCACAACAGCTCTTACTCCCACCTTAGGCACCTCCTGTTCCTTCCTAGCATTTTAGTGGGTAAAGCCAAGCTAACAGAAGTAAAAAGGATCTGAAGTAAAAAGGAAGCTCCTTTAGAGCTGTGGACAGTTTTCTGTCTCTAAGTACTAAGACAATCTTTCAGATATTCACCAGAAATCCTCCATATCTTATTTTCCTTCCATGCTCCCAAAAACAAGAGCCAATTTGTTGCCAAGTTGTGCTATTTTCAGATAACATAAAATTCAAATTACTCCAGTTGCTACTCCAGTACCAAAGGGACAGAGCACTGTCAGGTAGCATTACCTGAAGGACTTTCTAAAACTGACCCTTCAGAGGCCCTGAATAGATGGAAGAAACTAAAATGCTATTATAAAAAGAAATTATTCAGAAATTGCTTCATCATACTATTACCAATTCTTCTCTTCTCCCAAAATACTACCTATATGCAACATACTTCACTGCAGGAAATCAACCCCCCTAGATACAACCCCCCTAAAACCCTCAGGAGAAACTTGAGAAAGTTATTCTCTGGAATTAACTGTTGCCAGTACTATGTCAAATGATCCCTGTCTGTTACGCTACTCCCAGCATCTCTCTGCACACAAATACCAACCTGAAGGGACAAGGGGCTGTTTCCATCCTGAGCTTTGGTCCAGCAGGCAACCAGCTTCTCCACGTTGCCAGCACAAATGTAACAGAGACAAGCTTGCGTCTGCAGCAGGCTGTCACCCTCACTCTCCAGCCTGTTACCCAGGAGATCTAGACAAAATGCAAAGAAGATACCGTGAGTCACCCCACACTTGCTGGGTTTCTTCAGCACTTTTTCTACACTTTCTCACCTTTTGGTGCTTGGTCCGTGTCTTAGGGTACGTTCACAAAGCACAAAGTGGCTCTGAGCAGGGTCAGGGAATGTGGCCAGCATTCAGGTACCCCTTGTGCTGCAGCGGGGATAGACCCCTCCAAAACGCTCCCTAAACCAACCGTGTCTGCAGAGACGGTCAGTCCTGCAACTCATCTACTGCAGAATCTGTGTCTCCTTTCCCAAGGGTCAAAATGCTCTCACGAGAGAAGAGGCAAATGCTGCTCTGCAACATTTCTACTATCTCAGGCAGAGGCTCTCCAAACTGCTCCCTGCCTCAAAGGAGACTGGCAGCTGTGCATAGCACAGTCAAAACTCAGGCCCATCTGCTTACAAAGCCAGCTCTGTACCCCTCCAAAAAACAGGACAAGACAAAAATCAGGAACTGCTGCTGGAACACAGCACCTCATAGACTCCTCTCCTTTGCAGGAAGATTCAGGAGCTGTATTATCAACCAGAGGAGCTATAGCAAGGCCTTGCAATAACTCATCTGAAGGAAAACAGCAGAAAAACAAACAAAACGCACAAAAACAGAGCTTTGCTAGAAATTATGGGGATAAATGGCATCCAGGCTGTCAAGCAAAAACAAAACACACACACACACACAGAGCTTTGCTAGAAATTACGGGGATAAATGGTATCCAGGCTGTCAAGCATCCTTACCGCAAAGGGCTGCAAACTCCTCTGGCCTGGCGTAAGTCAGCACAGCAGCCAAAGCCTCCCTCCAGTTCTGCAGATCACAAAACTGCACAATCTCCTTCCAGTTCTTGGTTACAACTGCAGTGATAAGCTGGAGCAGAAGGAGACAAACCTCAGTAAGATCCTTGTAGCTGGGCTCATATTCCGTGAACAAAGTCCTTGTAATGCAACCTGCACAATAAATGCAACCTAACCACAAGGTCATCCCCCATTTCTGAACACAGGCACAGATAACTGGTCAACTCTCAATAAAAACGCCTTTCTTCTAAGGATGAATCACAGGAAAAAACGTAGTTCCCACTTTCTACAAAATTCTTTCCCTTGTCTTGGTCAAATATATAGAAAATCTGAAGGAAGAGATTGGAGAGTTGTAATACCTCATTTTTTCTTCACTTGTCCAATGCTACAAATGCAAACTATTTGTATCGCCAAAAGCTTGCTTACAGACTCTGCCCTGGGGTGCTGGGTGCTTCTTTCCCCAGGTCACTGTGCTTTTTGACCTTCAGGCCTGCTCCAGAAAAGCACTTCTGCACATGCTCATTTTCAAGCAACTGCTGCAAACACCCTTGTTGGGCAAGGGACTAGCAAAGTGACATGTTCAACCAACTGCCCCATGCTCCTGTGTGGCCACTTCTCCCACATCACTGTTCTCCTTGTGCTCTTCTCATGCGAGTGCTCAGAGGCAATCATGTGAAAGAGCAGTGTCAAAAATCACTAGCGTGGCAGGATGTTGAAAAGAACAAATAACCAGCTGGCCATAACATCCTTTTCCTAGACACGGGGTGACTCATGTACTCTGGCTATACTTAGCTATCCCTCTGTGCGTGCAGTGAAACCAAGCATCAAAGTCTCCGTTGCGAATGATCACAGGCAGGAATTAATACAACGCTACAGACACTGAGCATGAGCCTGCGTGCAGCACTTGAAGAATGTGTCAAGAAAAGACATTAAAGTGTTTGCTGCTTAAGATGTTTATCCCAATTAAGGAGATTTTACTAGTGTATACACAGCTCAAAGTAACACTAGAAATAGCACAAAATCCTTTTTCCCAGCTAGCATGCCTCCTCTTTCCAAGAAAATGTATTATAAACAGTAAAGAATGCTTGCTCTCATCCTGTGGATGCCTAACATCTATTAGGTTCTCACATACAGACATCTATAAGATGGCATGGAAACTTGTAATTCTAAAAAAGCGGGGGGAAGTTCTACCAAGAGGTTTCTTTCTAGCTGAATATACATACCCTGGTAATTTTGCTCTGCATCTTTGCAAAGTATTTTTCCTGCGTCCTAGAGAGCAGCTCTTGTCCGCCTGCGATGGCCAGGATAATGGCATCAGCCATGCGGTTGTCGTGCAAGCAGAGATCGACCGCGCTTTCAAAGTTACCCATCAGCAACGCCTGGGTAATCAAACCATCCACATCTGCAACAGGAAAAAGGAGGGCATTTTCAAACACAAGGTTCGGTTAAGGATGTGACAACAGGTATCTACAGGGAGGCTCAAGTTCATCTCCAGTCTCAAACACAGTGCAGTCAAGGCCAAATCTGATGGGACACTTTGAGTCATCACTTATCATGCTGCTGGAACAAGATGCTACCATTTCCTACAGGGCACTATTGAATCACCTCAGAGACAACTAACCTGAACCAGCATCAGATACAAAATTAGATGCAGACAGGACTCAAGGGCTTCTGTGTACAGAGGATGCCCTGGGAGCTTCTGTGCAAATAGCAAGGTGCTATTTTTACAGAATTGCTCTTTTATGGCATCAGAAATCACGTTCAGGTAGCAGCATTTCAGTGGTGGGGCATGAGTGCTGTGTACTTCCCTTCCTTCCCTGAAAGACCTGTGTTATGAAGACCTGTGTTATTGTTGAGAAATTAATGGAGGTAGGGACAAATAATGATAATGCTTTATGATCTGCACAGAAGTTTGCTTCCCCTCCCCACTTTTTTTTTTTTTTTTTTTTACCTCCACTAACAGAGATGTTAAATGTCTTCATTGCAGGCACTGAATCTTCAGGTCCATGTCTACGGTCCTTTAAGCCCTAAAGAAAAAGCACAGTTGTGGAGATTAGGCAAATATTTGGGAAAAACAAACACATGCTTAAAAATATGCACCTTGCATTAGACAGTAAGGTATACTCGCTTTCAAACTTCAAATTTCCCTAAGAGATCATTAACTCAGAAGGAAGAGCATTAACCCTGTCATTTGTTACAGCACTGTTTCAGCTCAGGAGAATCAGCTTCCCCTGGTACCTGCACGGAGTCAAGCATGCAGCACACTCAAAGCTCTGGGCTTATCAGAAGACCTCCAGCGTACATCAGTGAACCATTTTAAAAACACCCAGTGACCAGAGTTGAACATCTTTTTAAACAGATGCCAAAGGGAAAAACAGTGAAAGTTTCAGATTTCTTCCTGGTAGGGTCAAGTTTATGCAAATCTGAGTTGTGCATACATGGAGATCCCAAGCGGCAGAGCCTGGTACTGACCTGCACAGGTAAATGTGCCCGCACACACATGCATCTCCCCTACACCTGCCCCCCCCACCAAAATCTGAAATTCTCCTTCCCTTCTTGCTCACCTCCCCAAAGTAGCGTCTAGGAATGCTACCTAGTTTTCCATTTAGCTCCGCATAGAGTTTGAGCTCATCCTCCAAACAGCAGGTACCAGGAGCAAGCCTGGTCCAAGGAAGCACAACACAGGCTTCATTCTGGACACAGAAGCCCAGAGTACTCCAGACATGCTAAAGCACTTGGCTGGCTTGGCACAAAAGTGTTCAGCCTTGACAGAAGAACCTTCCTATGTAAGCTCCCCATAGAGAAAACAGAGAGCATCACCTGCTGGGTTTTTGAATTTTTAACAAAAGCCTTTAAGAAAAGCACAATGATAGCAAGGGTGAAGTCTCTCCACCACAAATATTCACAGCAAGACCAAGTGAGAGGGCAATAACTGCTCTGCTTCCTCCACCACAAGCCAGCATGTAAACACAGGTATGGTAGCTCCAGAAGACATGCTTGCTGGTAACACCTTGCTTACATACTGATTACTGAAATGGTCTCCTTTGAGAGCAAGAAGCACAAGCATGCAGTTGACATAAAAGTATATTTTGCACAGGGAGGTTCAAGAGAAACAAGAGTCATGTTTGGCCCAGGTAAAGGCACAGTGCCTGGAGAGTGGCTTTGTTCCCAGATGATGCATGATGTGGCTGGAAGCAGTCGAGAGCACATCATGACTGGCACCTTACATATTTATATATCTCCAGCACCAGGAAAACACAATGAAATGCTGTTAAAAGCAAAAGAAATACGCAGGAAATTAGTGTTAATCCAGAGGGCAGTGCGTACCTCTCTCAAGAACTGCTCCTCTGCAGCCTGGCCTTCCCCTGCCTCGGTCATGGCAGATCCATCAGATTCTGTGGGTGCCTTGAGAAGAGAGAAGCAGTTGTGAGGGGGGAAAAAGAAAGGCCAGGAGAAGAGAAATACTTGGCCCCGCAGAGCAAAGCCACCACCTTCTTGACAGTACTTAGAGCTACCCTGCTGTGCACAGGAAAGCATCCCAAATCCATGTATGATGACAACAAAGCGGTAGAGACCCTCCATTTCCTTGCTCCTGTCATTATTCAGTATCTTGTGCTGCTTTCATCTTAGCTGCCTGAAAATTTTTAAGAACTATATATATAGTTTCCATTAGGCAGCCACTGGTGACATCTAAAACGTATATGGCCTCATTGTAACGCCGCAGCACCGGCCAGGCAAAGAGAGCACAGCAGCCCTGTGGAGAAAGCAGTGCACTGGGGACTTGGACCACTAAAACTACAGAAAAGATCTAAACAGCATTTAGCAGGTGAGCAGAATGGAAAAGCAGACAGACATGAAAGACCCTGAGCCAAAACCTCTGACTGACAGTCCTTTGCTATGAAACACGCAAGGTAGGAAAAAGTTATGTTCATTTACACTAAGTCCCTTCATCCTACTGAACTTAAAGAGTTCTTACATGCTGGGTTATTCCTGTCTTAGAGTTACCAAGCCAAAAGAAAAATTATTCTTACTTTGCACATTATTATTGCATTATAAAACTTGACCAAGTTGTAGACTCCTGCTTACCTCTCCCAAATCATCATCTGCAAGGCCTTCTTTGTTCAGAGCTGAAGTAATCTGGAACACAAGCAAGGTTTTTCAGTTAAGTACCCTTTCATTTTAGAGACACCTCTTCGCTCATATCTCATACTGCAAAGCTGGCTATGTAGCTAATATTTTACTTGCAAAAGAGTAAATCAAAGCAATTTCCTTTCCCAGCCTGCTGATGAGCTTACTGCTAACTCACCTGCACACCAACCTCCTAAGGAAACAGCTTTTTCTGGACATTTAATGTTAACTCTGCCTCAAACCTCATGGATCTGCTGGAAGCCACAGTAATAAAAATGACATTACAGGGAAAAGTGACTATACAAGGGAGGGGAAAAAAAAAAAAATCACTCCTCCCTGCATTGTTGAGGGCAGCTCAGCTAGTGACAAATGACAGCTCTATTTGAGCAGAGCAACTGCCAGGAAGCTGTGGTTTCAATGACAGCGTGCATATGGCCTTGAGGTAGGATTTTACAAGGGAGAAATGAGCTAAATCCCCAGCATTTCTTGCTTTGCAATGTAAAGCAAGTCTTCAGATTCTTTACAGGCCCTCAAAAATCCCAATTTAATGAAGCACTTTTAGATTACAAAAAAATGTTAATACCATATCTGAATACGTGGACCTCGTAAGGCTAATATCTGATTGCTTCTAGTATAACAGGGCGTACTTTAAACTTAGATGGGATTCTTGGGAGGAAAAAAAGAAAAAAACCCACAAGACCTAGCTCATATTGCAGGAGCTGGCTGGCTTGGTTTTTTTTTTAATTATTCATTTATATCAAAAGAAAAGAAGTCCAGGGATTGCCCCAAACGTATTAAGTCCAGGGTTATCTTCTGGGCATCGCTAGCCTGCAGAAAATGTTGGCCTATATTTAACAGCACTAGAAAACATGGACTCCACTTCCATGTGGAAAGCTTTGCCATAAAACAGCTATGCAAAAAGGGGTCCTCACAGCTCAGCTCATCAGTTCCTCACCTACTGAAACTGTAGGGTGATCCAACATTTCAGGCTCCTCAGTTCAGCTGCCTCCATTTTTTCCAGCTGCACCAGCCCCTCAAAACTGCCACCACTCCTGCTGCATACACAGGACTGAGTTTCATCCGCATTTTCTAGTTTCAATCTGCTTTTGAAAAATAGGGTTTCTCTTGTGTTTGTCTGACTTGCGCAAGGAACATGTAGAAGCCGAGGACGGCGTATTTGCAAAAACTTATTTTCTTGGTAATTGTAACAAATTTGCTCTGGAGTCCACTTGATAAACAAACAAAATGACCTTTTTATAGAGCCACTCTTTCAAAATAAAAGATTAAGTTGATATAATGGAAATGAGTCAAACTTTCAAATCCACTGACTCAGAACTGAGCTAGACAGATCCTAGGCACAGGACTGAGAGCAGCAAACCAGCCAAAATGGGCATCTGATATCCCTGGGTACCAACAGGCAGATGGCACTGTGCAGTTTGTCTCTGAGCAGAGGAGAGACAGATAAACTCACCCAACTCCGTCTGCAACTTAAGAGCTCTGCAGTCTATGCCCAACACATTTCATACTACACCCTTCCTACCACAGATACTTCCCAACTGTTTGAATGGAAACATATTGCAGGTGTTTAGGCAAATCAGAGGCTTCATTACCTGCTGGTGACTCATTTTCAAATAAAGACAAATAAATATAGCTTTGGAAAACAAAGCCCTTTTATCTGTTGCTTCTGAAAATCAGATTTTGCCCAGGTTTTCCAGAAAGATACATAGCTAAATGATACAAAACACTCCCTGGTAATATAACTTCTGTCTTTCTAAATCAATTTCATTGTTCTAAGAAGGCACCTCACAAACAGGAATATTTTAGCATTATAAGAAGATTAATGAAACCACGAGGAACATAAAAGTTCTTTAACTAGAAAACCAAAAAAGGATTAGATTCCATGATATTCCAATATAGGAATATGACGTATAGTAGCTACATAAACAAATTCTACCAATGGATAGGAAAGCTTTTATGTGTGACAATGAGATCAACATGGGACAGAAAGATGCAAATACGCCTCTGAAGTCTGTTGATTGCTTTGAAATTCTCGGAGAACATTCATATTGAAAGATTACATAGCTACTAAAAAAACAAAAAGTGGGCAAAGCAAGCTGCAACTGCCATAAAAAATCTGAAGTTATTTAGGGAGAGGTAGATTGCTGGGAATAAAAGGGAACACTTGGTACATAAATAATGCATATTTAAGTCAGCAATATGGAAGCAAACAAAGGATTCAGTACAACAGCTCTATATGAGAGCTATATGAGCAGCAGCACAAATACTATCTGTTGGGAAGCACAATAAAAAAAAGTGTTGTATAAAAATGTGTATGACAGTGTGCATAAAAATGTGTATGATCTTAAGTAGCCTGCAGTGATTACTCTTTTAGTGCCAAATGTAAATGAATATTTCAGCCACATATGGCATGGCCAGCATTCCAGGTTGCACGTTACAGATGTGTGACTCAGTGAAATCACTTAACATGCATCTTCCCAGCATATTTACCTTCTTCCTTAGATCCTCTTTCCTGTATCCCAAGAGTTCCAGATATTTAGCACGTGAATCTTCCTCAAAATTCACCTGTGAAAAAGAAAAGTTAGAAGGAGTAGTCTGCAGTTGAATTTTCTTTTTCTCTCCAGCCTTTCACTTGTCAAACACAAACATGCGCTGAGCACTAGTGACTGCAGACGGAGCATGTAGGAACAATCTGCCTATCAGCTTCATGTGGAAGCCTCTAAATACTCAGAAAGGCACATTTAAAGTTGTGCCAAAGCTTTATTGTGCCTCAACAACTCATAGTAACAAACCGTCTGGACAAGAGACACCTTCCCTGAGGATTTAGGAGTGTTGCCCTCTGCTGCAACGTTCTCATGAACCCTCAAAGCACCCCCTGCTCCAAGGGCCCTCCCTTTCTTATGGGCCACCTACACTGCAAGGGCTTCAACACACCACTCCAAGTCCACATCTTGGGCTCCCAGCACTGGTTCTGCTAAAACATTGTATTGTGCAAAGGAAAACGTTTTTGTAACAGTCTTGTGGGGAGGTGGGGAATCCCTGGACTCCTTGTCACCCTCTAAGATGGTACCTTTAGGAAGGCCCACACGTTCTTCTCAAAGTCAGCCTGGGCCATATCGATTTTCTTCTGACAGTAGCTGACAAAGCCTTCAGACTGCACAGCTTCCTGCAGCTGGTTGGAGCGGGCCAGGAACTCCTTCTCCGTAACCACCTGGCTCACGTAGACGTGGTAACGCTGCTGCTGCTGCTCCATGCCTGGCTGCTGCTGAGCTTTGGTGCTCTCAAATGTAACCAGTTTGCCTCCAAACTACAATTGAGACACAGGTGTAGCATATAAAGGTAGTTTTTAATTCAAGACTGTGCCAAAATAACTATGCACACACACATATACATACGCACATCTGTACATACTCTTTTATACAGTGCATATAGGCACTGCATTTAATGGACAAACATCGCTGGCATTGTGATACTTAGGTGTATTCTCCACCTCCCCATATCCCTATGCAGTGAAAGAGCTGGCTTGAAAGAAAGGGTATATGTTCAACAGGACTTCCAAGTTTTTCCTTAAACTAAGGACTAATATCCCCAAATTCCAAAGAACTGGGGCTGTGGATCTGTAGAGTGTCTAGCAGGCAGGTTATCTTACGTTCCTGCAACAGAAGTCCTAAAAAAGTCCCATGCCCTATTAAATACACGATAGGGTATGATAGGCGCCCTGCTTACAGCAGGATGTATACCAGTTAAAAGCCTACTGAGAGGTGGAGAGGACACTGGCTAGGCAACACCACTCCGATCTGAGCCCCTGCTTACCGAGAACGACGCTCCCACGGGGCGTCGGATCCACTTGGGTGGCTTCTTTAGGGGCAAAACAACACTCTGCGAGGCCGTCTGCTGGGGAAGCTGCAGGGGTGGGAGGGGCTGACCTGTGCCAAAGGGATCGAGGTTCCCAAATGAAGATGAAAGCTTGAAAAACAAAGGGGAAGAAACACAAAAAAAATACAGAAGTGACACATCTTATTTGATGAAGCAGACAAACAGCATTATCTACACCAGATGGGTAAAATCCATTTGGCATGAGAGCCACTGAAGACTTCCAACATGCCTGCTGTTCTGTCTCCATTTTCTCAGCTGAACACTTCTCAATACCTGGTCAACCTGCTTCTGCCTCAAGCCGTCTGTGCTGCCTCCCATGATGGAGTAAACGCCGATGCGCCCGTCGAACGACGCCGCAGACAAGACAGCAGGGTTCCTGGGACACCACTGGATATCGAAGCACCACTGCGTGTTTGTGGGCAACTCATACAGCACCTGGCCAAGTAGAACAAAGCTGTCAACTCAGGGCTTGTAATAAAATCCTACTACCCACGAGAATGACAGGAGGGGATTTCTGCAGCAGTACTAACTCACTCAAGTCTTCGGGGCACCAAAAAAACCCACGTGTCATTCCAAAGGTATTCCCAATTCCAGCAAGACGGGAATGCTTTAACGCAGCTCAATGATCTGTCACTATCGCAAAAACCTACAAAATCCTTCCGCTCTGGCTAAAAGTTTTCAAACTCAAAGATGGGAAAAAGACAATGATGAAAGTATTTCAGCCCCATGAATCCCCATTAAAAAAAAAAGTATAAATAAAGCAGGGCCATTTACATTCCTTACAGCTGTAAGGCTGTAGAGCAGGACTATTAGGAAGGAGTCCTGTATCACTGGAAAACTCTGAAGGCATATGCTTCAGCTGCAAGGAATTAGGGTAGCTGCCTTAGCCCTCAAAGATTTCTCCCATAAGAGGGAGCATGGATCTGTTCCAACACCTCTTCTTCCCTCACTGTGTGGAAAACACAGGGAAGCAAGCATTGGAAGAACGGGTAAAACAGCACAAGAAAAACAGAGTGCTTTTAAAAATGCTGCGTCGCTTATGCCAGTGAAGAGAGAGATTTTACAAGTGGTTTGCATACAATACCTCGCCTGTGTTTGGATTGGAGCACAGAATTTTAGCATCCTTCCCACAGCTAAGTAGCAGCTCCGGATCTGCCATGCTCCAAGCAATGGCCAAAATGCCCCTGTGCAAAGTTACAATAAAAATGAAGAGATGAACTCATTTAAGAGCAACTGGGTATTATTTTTTTCTATAAAAAAGTCATTCATTTACCTGCATCATCAACACACAGTGTGTAAACCCGTACGGTGAGTGACTACTTAGTTGGACAACCTAATTTTATTAGTGCAAGGTTTGTGTCAGGAGTACAGCTGGCAGCAGTTGGCACACAGACCCACTGTTGTTCTCTCCTTTAAACTGGGAGTTGTTTTTATGGCATATGGAAAAGCTTCACTAATAAAATGGAGGTAGCATGGGAAATTACCCAAGCTTTTCCAGGCTTAAGATATTGGAGGTGAGGGAGGGCAGGAAAGAAGGGAGAGCCTCTACCTTGTATGGCTTTCCAGAACACGAAGTGGTGACGAGGCAAATCTCAGGTCCCACATCTGAATCACAGGCAACCTGTCGTCCTCCGAAGCCAAAACCATTTGTGTGGCAACATCGGGGTGCCATGCCAGGCCCGAGCAGTGCATCTAAGAGACAACACTAGGTAACAAACCGGCAACCAAGGGACACAGGACAACCACACTAATTGGGGCTAGATGCAGGGAAAAGGCGGTCCTGAGGGACTGCCCCATTTGCTGCTGTATTTCTGGGCAGCGTTTTGGACTGCATTCAGTTAGGATCAACTCCTTGACTCCACGAAGGAGAAGACTTCCAAATAATTTCCTAGGATGCTCAAATAGATCACTGTGCAGCCTCGATCCCAATCTTTCCATGTAAGACTATAAATATTCTTTAATGTAAAAAAAACCCTGCACGAAGTATTTTCACATTATTTCAGTTACATCTACCAATATTCCAAGAAAACCTGTTGTTATGAGGGGGTTTACTCACCCGGTTATTGTGGTCACTGACTTTGATGATGGGCTCGTTCTTCCTGAGGTCCCACACGGTTGTTCGGCCACTAGGGCTGGCAGATGCCAGGATGTGCTGGACCTGCCTGTTCCACGCGATGCAGCTGATGTCTTCAAGAGGCTACCACACACAGAACAACCTGTCACAGCCTGGCAAGCTGCCACAACACCCTCTTGTTTTTACACTCTGCTAAAACACACGTCTGTAGGGAGATCTGCCTCCCTCCCATGTTTGTTCTGCTTCCTGCGCACACAGGCTGTACGGCAGAAAACCTGAAAATCCCACTTGTAAAAGCTGCCTCCCCTCTGCGAGTCTAATACGTTAGTCACGTAGAACATAAAAGTATTCCACAAAAATACACCTGGGTACATGAACTGTACTTTGCCTCTGAGTATTAGTTTGTGACTTGCAGAGAAAAGGTAAGTCTGCTTGAAGGAGCTCTGTAGTCACGTTTTAACTCCTTAGGTTTAACCTTTGAAATAAGAGCAATACTAACACAGCCTTCCTCACTGCACTGTACTTCCAGCTGTCACTGAACACATGGATTAAAAGATTACACATTTAATTTAAGTGATTATCAGACATGGTAATTCCTATACAGAGATATTAAACAGAGGCAAATTTCCTCAAAAATGTCCATGTGATATTAAACTAATCCAATGATAATAAATTTAAAAAAAAAGAAAAAAAAAAAGAAAAAAAAAGTCAAACCCAGAGCATTTTAAACCCAAATTCTTTAAACAAAACTGATTTTCGTCCCATTTCCTCGCTAATTATTCTTCCCAACTTATCATGCAGTTATGCACTAATTTTTTGGTAACCACACCTAGCTGGCTTGGGCAATTTTAAGAACTAGACCAACATAAACACTTCTAAAAAAAATCCCTCCCATTCCTTTTTCTCCCTTACAAGGCACACAAGACAGAAATCCTTTCTTCTTTTCCTCCATAAATCTTCTTTGAAGAAATCACAGGCTAAACACTGCTGCAATTACATATTCCTTGAAAACCACAGATGCAACTGCCAAACCTACTGCCTCATTTTCTGATTTCTCCATAGCTGGGTTTAGTCTTTCCTACGTTTTTCTCTTCACCATCCTCAGATTCACATATATGCTGAAACATGCCAAGAAAGACTAGAAGAGATCCAGTCCATGGACCAGCAGTTAAGAATATTTTTAAAAGGGGTGTAACCAGAAAGACTTGGCTCAGGATTACTTGTTGCTTGATAAAATACAACATCTTGCACAGAACAGGGAGGCACTTAAAGATTTATCATTTTGTAGGTTTCAACAAACTATCAGCTTCAGTAACGTGCTTATTTTTCCTTGGTTTGCAGTACTTAAGACATACATATCTACTACCTGTGTCTTCACTCCTGGTGTCATTGGTGTGGCAAAATTGTTCAAGTCCCAGATATAGATTTCAGACTCATTAGCACCGGAGGCCACCAGATTAGTCTGTAAAACACATAAATACAGTGTAAAGTATATTTTCAATATCAGTTTTCATAATCTCAGTGGCTGAACAAATCCATAGGACTATCAGTTTATTAGGTCATTAGTGGCCACTTCTGCCAACACAAGCCCCAACTTTATAAACAGAAACGAAGTAATTCAGAAAGACCTCAATGAAGAGAGAGCAGCCTTGCTAAAAGCAACTGCCCACAGAAAGGAGGGCTCTTTAGAAAATGAAATCAACTGAATTCTCACAGGCATGAGGGGAAAAACAAAACAAAACAAAAAAAAACAAAACACAAATGGACATAAATGCGCTTTAATAATGGAGAAAAGCTTGTGGCTTTTGAGAGCTTTTTCTAGAAAGGCTTTTTCTAGAAATTGCCTTCCCCTCCTGGGGAGGAAATTTAGAGGTTGCGATGATCCATCCTTCCCATTCCCCTACAAGGCAACCCTAACAACTAAGCACACAAAGCAACAGAGCACATACATGCTCCCTGTGACCAGAGAAATACTGGTTCAGCCCACCAAAAGTAAAAAGGGAGACCAGGTGAAAACATGACAGAAAATCACCCATACTTTACACCTAACCTGAGCAGACTCACTGAAGTGAACAGTCTAAAAGGACTGAGAAGGGATCAGTCTGAAACTCCTTCTCCAGACTGAGATTCCAGTAACAGAAAAGTTTTTCATACTAGATACACACATACCCAGTTTTACCTGTATTTTTCAGAGGCTGGGAAAGGGACCGAAACATTTAGGGTAATATGTACTTAAGGCAGGCCGCTGATCTATGTGAACAACACTAAACCAACCTGGAAAATGTTGACATCGAGCGCTCGCACCGGTCCTGTGTGCTTGTCTTTCTGGGCAACAATGACTTCAGCATCTCCAGCTATAATTTTGGCTGGGTCGTAGAGGATGATGTTTCCATTTTCACCCCCAGCAATCAGGACTCCTGAGACGCTCTCGCCTGCGGTCATGCTGTGTGGCCCCCATATGAGTTTGTGGTACCTGGGAGACACAAAGACCCCAGGCTACAACCATGCGCAGCCACGTCAGCTAAGAGGCATCACAGACGCTTCCAAGAAAAGCTCTAACTGTGGCTGCCCTAACTGATGAGGTTCTAACGCTTGCTTGCTCCTCTATGCTAGAAAGATGACACGTCTAAACCTTTCTCCTCATCAAAAGGGCCATCTCCTTTGGAGCTGCAAAATCAAGCAAAGCCTCCCACTTTGAGCTTATTTTTGTATAACGACAGGAATAAATCAAAATAAGGGCTGTTAGCCCATTCAAACCCAGCCTGGAGATAAGACTCTAGTATTTGAGGACAGCTTTAAAAAAAAAAATAATAAACCTGTTGCCCTGGATGCTCAGCCTGTGGCCTGTTCACAACATAAATATGTCATTTGCACTGTGGTATCCTTTCCAGAACAAGTCAGAAGAATTCAATGTGCTTCCATCTATTTCCAAGCTTTTGTCAATCTGCAAGTACTCCATTTTCCTTCACTAAATAAGCTTGTTCCATCAAGAGAACAGCACTCCTGTGTATTTGGCCATGCAGAAAACACGCCTTCTACAAAGGACACATCAATCGCTTGTTGGGCAATCAGAAAGTAAAACGAGGTCGTTTAGAAAGTGAGGGAAATTACTTTAGCATCTGCTGTTTATTGCTAATCTCTTACTTATCTAAGGACAACCTATAAATAATTTCTTTAACACACCTCAGGCCCAGCTCGATAAGCTGCATACTACAAACACCTGGACAAAGAGCATGTGTCATACACACACTGAGTTACCAAAATTGCCAGGCAGGTCCTTTTTCTGGGTACCAAAATGATTAGAGTCCTGAAGCTGCTGAATTATGCAGGGAAGTCAACTCACCCATGGCTTTCCTGGACACCAGTAATACAACACGAACACAATCCAACAGGGGCAATGCAAGAACCACCCCCCTCAAGAGACAGAAAGGGGTGAGGAGTTAAAAACAAAACAAAAAAGCATGCATTTACTTTCCATTTGCCCTTTGCTCCTTCAAAGACAAAGTATGACCCTATGAAAGGGCACAATACTTTCTGGAGAATGACAATGTAGACTACTTGTTGCAGAACTGATTTGGTGAGAACTGAATCACTTGACCATTTTGACTTGCTGCAAGGCAAAATAAAGGCAGAGGCTCTGCATCCTCACGCTAGCAAAAGCCATTTACACCTGGCAAATGCACATGCCACTCGGCAAGCCTGGGAACATCTTAGCCACAATTAAAACAAAGTTGACCCATGACATTTTAAAGGATCAAACGGCTCATCCTGCTCTCTGTGAGTCAGTTGGGAATGTTAAGCCTCAGCTCTGCCTGCACACCAGGGCATTAAGCACAGGCTGGGGCTGTTTCTCCCAAGCCCTGCGTATCAAAACGCTGATGACTGCAGGACTGGTCCTGGCAGCTCCAGCAGCACAGCCTGGAAACTCACCACTACACAAGCAAAAACCAAACTAAGCTTCCTGCAAAAACTAGTGTTACTGCCATTAGTACTCCCATTAGTAGCACATCCCTGAAGAGGGTCACAACCAAGCTTCCTGCAAAAACTAGTGTTACTGTTTCTACTCCCATTAGTAGAACATCCCTGAAGAGGGTCACAACATTCCTGCATGCAAGCATGGCCAAATCCTCATTCAGGACCCTGGAATGTATTTCCACTCAACACAACTTCCAGGAACCATGCTTGGAAATGCATTTATTTGGCCAAATGCACAGTAAGGGCCTAAAGGACCCAAATGCTGCATTTTGGAGACCTGACTCACTTGCCTTCACTACTGCACTACGCTGTCCCCTCTGAAGAGCACTGCCACTCACGGGCCACCCTTCGGCCCAAAAGCTCTGCTCCTCTCCTCATAACTGCGCTCGAGCCTCGCACGCTGGCCTTTCAGTACGCAATCCTTACAAACCCGCTGCGTACCTGTGAGAGGAGGAGAAGGTGGCACAGGACTTCATATCCAGGGAAGGGTCTGCTAAGTCCAGCTCGAATATTTCTAAGGAAGCGTTGGTGCTGAACGTTGCATCCAGCTGCTGAGCAGACGTACCTGCAAAGAAGCATGTGCAGGGATGAGAAGGACATGCTATAGAACGCATCAACTGCAAAAGCAAGCAGGCAGGGCATAAGAGCCCCATCAAAGCACCATCTGCTTTGTTTTATAAGTATTTCTATGTAATTCTCCTCCCATTGATTTCCTCCTCCGTGGGTTTCTTAATCAGCATGAAATGGGAAGCTTTAGGAGAACGCTCATCCCTAGCTGATTACGTAGAAGAAATTGAGTTAACAACAGAGAAACAAGGGAAGTAGGAGATGAGCAATAAAGAAGAGTTAGTCAATAGGCACATCCGGATGTTGGAGTCTTAACCTGGAGAAAAAGAGTTGCTGCTGTTGCCTGCAGAGCAGCAAGCATGTGCTCACAACACACATACAATTAAAAAAGAAGGCAAATGAAGGAATAAATCACTTTAACAAGGCCAGAAAAATGCCTCTGAGGTACTATATAGTATTCTCCATTCCAACTGCAACCTTCAGGCCACAAATCAACTACTCTCATTTTCATCTGCACCCGCCTCACCCCAAGCAGACCAAGGCCCCCTGGCCCATGTCCCCACAACTCACCTGTGGCCAGGTAAATGGGGTGCTGCAGGGCAGGGCTCCATGCCTGCATGGCAGTACGATCAATCTCCTTCAGCTTCATTTTGCTAAAAAGCAGCACAACAAAAAGGTAATTCTCACGTGCAGTGCAGCAGTACCTAATGCAGAGTTAGGTGCTGTATTACAACCCTGCAGCAGGAGCCACCCAAGAGCCCTTAAGGTCCCCCTGGAAGCAAGGTGATCCCATGCTGGCCCTGGGGCTCCTGCAGCTGCTCCTGCCGTTGGGTACAAAAGCAAGGATAATTCCTAGGCCTCAGGGACGCTCTAATGAAACCCTGCCTGTCAGA